AATTTGCCATTCGTGTCATATCTGCATCATTTACTATCTCCAGGTGGGTCAACCTATGCCGGCTGAAACCAAAAAAAAATGTTATAAAACAAATTAAATGATTTGATTTTTCAAATTTATGTGTGCAAGAGATTAAAGATTTTGGAATTTTAAAAAAATATGAAATTATTCATGAAATTTACAATGTTCAGAGCAATGAAAAAATTATTCTTGAATCCCTGGGAACCATTTAAATCAACAAACTTTCATTAATCACATAGTTTCCAAAATAAATTAATTTTTATAAAAATACCTCAAATTGGAGACTTTAGCATTTTCAATAGCAGTTACTGTCTCCTGAATAAGATAAAAATAAAGATTTTAAAAAATCATATTTCATATTTATTGCACCATCCCTTTAACTTACCGCGACACCGCGTTCTCCAATTGTATGAACCACAAAATCAAATCCCTCACCTTGGGCTCTAATACAGAATAGGATTAAAAGGACTTTTGTTTAATATTATGTATACTATTTTTATTGTTTTTACTATTAATTTCATTAATATTAATATTAATATTATTATTATTATTATTATTATTNGTATATGTACAGTCTAGGAGAGTACATTAGAATCTCGGTATATGTACAGTCTAGGAGAGTACATTAGAATCTCGGTATATGTACAGTCTAGGAGAGTACATTAGAATCTCGGTATATGTACAGTCTAGGAGAGTACATTAGAATCTCGGTATATGTACAGTCTAGGAGAGTACATTAGAATCTCGGTATATGTACAGTCTAGGAGAGTACATTAGAATCTCGGTATATGTACAGTCTAGGAGAGTACATTAGAATCTCGGTATATGTACAGTCTAGGAGAGTACATTAGAATCTCGGTATATGTACAGTCTAGGAGAGTACATTAGAATCTCGGTATATGTACAGTCTAGGAGAGTACATTAGAATCTCGGTATATGTACAGTCTAGGAGAGTACATTAGAATCTCGGTATATGTACAGTCTAGGAGAGTACATTAGAATCTCGGTATATGTACAGTCTAGGAGAGTACATTAGAATCTCGGTATATGTACAGTCTAGGAGAGTACATTAGAATCTCGGTATATGTACAGTCTAGGAGAGTACATTAGAATCTCGGTATATGTACAGTCTAGGAGAGTACATTAGAATCTCGGTATATGTACAGTCTAGGAGAGTACATTAGAATCTCGGTATATGTACAGTCTAGGAGAGTACATTAGAATCTCGGTATATGTACAGTCTAGGAGAGTACATTTGTTTGTTGTTAATAGTTTACTTAAAAATAAGTTTGATATTCATGTAATATATTATTTATATATTTAAGTCAACACTATAAGCCAAATTTTCATGCAAGGAATATAATTTGATTAAATTTTGCAATAAACTACTTGTTATTCAAACTTTATTATAATTAACGACATTGTTCTGCAAATTCTTTGACTGTGGTCATTTTGTGTGTCTGTACCAAAAGAGTGTGTGTGTGTAATAACGAACTCGTCTGCAAAGCAGTGTGACTGGCTTTCTCATGCCAGACCAGCGCCATTACCCTTCCCCTTTATTTTTATTCCCTGCATGTATGCTGTCTATTTACTTATATTCATGATCTCCTGCAACATGCAGTCAACTTGACTTTCTTTGCTTAATCATAAAAATACTGTAATGTTCATGACCAAAGACTTCCAATTCAACCTTTGGATCGTAATATCTTAAAGTTTTAAGTCGTCTTTAATTTTTAATCCTTTATGGGTAATCATGTATCAGAGTTTTTGATAAATCAGTAATTTTAGATAAATTTATCACAATGATCATACCAGTAATCCATCCGAGTACACCTTGATCTGGTTCCTTCGTAGCATAGGGTCTGTATTAGAGAATAGTGCCTTTAGATCCTACAAACACAGATTTATGAAAGGAACTGCAGCAGGGCGTACTTTTAAGTGGTCCTTGGTGTAAAGAATTCACTTCCGATCCACAACAGTACTCTTTTTAAACATTTTCACATTATTTTTCATATAAAAGAGTTCTATGGTGAATCTAAGACGTATTTAGAAAGTTAACAAGTAAAACAAGAGAGAAGAGTGCAAAGATTATGAGTTTACAGGAAATATATCTAAGAAGTTAAAGGTTAACAAGTATAAAACAAGAGAGAAGAGTGCAAAGATTATGAGTTAACTGTATATCTAAGAAGTAAAAAATTCAAAATAAAAAAAGAAGGTTGCAAAGATTATAAGTTTACTGTCTCTACATCTATGTAAGAAGTAAAAGTTCAAAATAATAAAGAGAGAAGAGTGCAAAGATTATAAGTTTACTGTCTGTACATCTATCTAAGAAGTACAGATTCAAAATAAAAAGAGAGAAGAGTGCAAATATTATAAGTTTACTGTCTGTACATCTATGTAAGAAGTAAAAGTTCAAAATAATAAAGAGAGAAGTTTGCAAAGATTATGAGTTTACTGTCTGTACATCTATCAAATAATCAGGTATGTTTATAAAATACGACAAAATGGTGGCAGAATTAGCGTAAAAAATTAAAAATTATGAAATTATGTNTATTAAAAATGACCACATTTGTATTTGGTTTGTGTAGATTTGAAACTCTCTATGTAGCACCATTTTTAATCAATTCTATTCAATGAGAACAAAGAATTCGTATTTTTCCAAATTTGAGATGATATTTCATGAGAAAAATGATAAATATATTTATTTGTCCTACTAACCTTGCATCTACTACAGATGTTATTCCGTTCTCTGCTAATACACCCAAAGTATAAACTAATCCTAGAAATATATATTTCTATAATACAGTGAGAATCAGAAAACAGTGGAATAGTTGTCATATTTTTTTAAGTCATTAAATCTCGCTAGAAATTTTGTAATTTTCAATTCCACTATCTCTAAAAAGGTGCTCTCTAGGTCAAGGTTATAATGCAAATAAAATCTTTTGTACTGCAGTGTACTGTCTTTGGGGGGTAGTGTAAACACAAGACGGATGTTGAAGCCTGAAATGGGATCCATCTTTCACATAAAAAATCATTGAAATATTCCGACGAAAATATATTGACGAAAAATGTTATATTCATTTTTAAACTTCTTTAAAAATTAAAAGATTTGTGAGACTGTACAGTGTACATATAGGTAAACAAAAATTTAGAGGTGAAAAACTTGGACAAACGGTAAAATAAATGGGGTTTTCTTAGATATTTGAACAAATTTGAAAATTTGTGTGCTTGTGCAAAGGGAGAGGGGTTATAGTAAAAACGGAAATTTACAGGTCCGAAAGTGCGACAAACTGTGAAATATATGGGTTTTTCAAGGGCACATACAGAATGAAATGTAGGGGGGGGGCCTAAATTTCCCCCCCCCTAGAAGCTCCTATGGGGGGGGGACAAAATTTGAAATTTAAATTCAAAATATTCGGCTTCTAGATGATCAGGCATACTTTTTTATGGGTTATGGTATTCATTTTACGAAATTGTCTGTTATTGAAAATTTGTGTCCATTCTTTTATATTGTAATTTTCC